GTATCTTATGACTTATCAGCTAATGCAAAAGAGCATCAATGTATCACTAAGAACCATCACACTTTTTCCAAAACATAAAAGCCATAACAAAATATGTTTCCATTGTGGTGACTTAACTCTGGGCTGAGTGGTGCTACATATTTTACACAGAATAGCACAGATGGAAAACAGTAATGGGGAAGTCTGTTTGCTTTAAGTCATTCCCACGTTCATCAATTAACGATAGTCTGGAACAACCGTAGTTAAGCTAAATAGTTCTCTTCTCAGAAAACCCAAAAATAAGTTAATTTTACCAGAAACCACCACAAATCAAAACCAAATACATCAATTTACGAGAGATCAGTTTCCAGCTAGTCACTCCTTTCAGTTACTAGCCGTGTGTGGAACACATCTATTAGCAATAAAGAGGTAAAAAGTCTGTACATCCACTCATTCGAGCTCACCCATCCCCAAGCCCACTTCAATATCCACTGCCTGTTCCTGTGCTCTTACTGCCAAAACAGCATTTTAACAAACAGAAAAACCCAAACATAGGATGAGGGATGGGAAAAGAAGTTTCATAATAAAAGAAACCTTAAAAGCATTTCTCAAAGACTTCCATGCAACATCTCATCATCCAAAAGAAAAGATTCATGACGAAGTCAAGGCTGAAAACAAACTTACTTCTGGTGGTCATACAGAAGCTTTCCATCGTTGCCCACAACAATGACACCAGGATTGTTTTTCTAAAAAATAAACAAAAAAAACAACAACTATCACATAAATGAAACAGGTTAATTCAAAGTGAAATATGTACAACCCCAGCGACAGGCTTTTTCAATGTCTGAGGTCGTGTATCACACTGCACAGTTTACAAGAGGCTGCCACACTCTTCGTGCTGCTGGGAGTGGGGAAAAAAAGGTTCTTGGCTATCCAACCAATCAGCATCATTTCACAAACACAAATGTAAAACCCGCAGGTAGAAGAAAGGTGTATGCAGCAAATGCACTGATTTTAAAAAGCACAGATGATTACTACATCTGACTCTGGCTGTGTAACTTGGAAAGACAGCTGGCATCCCTCTGACCTCACGAGTCATTACAAAGACCACAGCAGTAGCTATCTGCCAGAGACTGAGCCATCTGCCAAACACACCCCTGGTTATTCAGACCAACAGAAAAATGAGAACAAGCTGAAGTAAGAGCAAAACAGATTTAGTGTTCTGCCAGTTGAGTTTAGAAAGCTAACTCTTCTTTTCATAGGAACACAAGATTACAGAGATAATCTCCCCTTCAGCGTTTCCATTCACCGTCTCCATAAGGAATATACTGTCCAACTGGACAGTCTCATAGTCCTATAGAAAAGATGACAAGCCTTGCCTCTCAGGAGTTCAAGAAAAACCCGATGCTCAATTCACAGCGTGGGGCAGGGTGGTCCTTTAATGCCATAAGAAATCAGCACAGCTAAAGTAAGCGACTGCTTTACTTCACCATGTATATTGTGGCAGTAACAGAACTGCAACCAACACCAAGGAATACATCAGTTTTTACTCCTCAGCCACTGTGCCTGGTTAGATAGATTGCTTCAAATCAGTATTACACACTCTGTACAATCCAAATACTTCAATGTCATCTTCTTACAGTTAGCTTCAGTACAACAATAGTAGTTCTGTATCAATTCAGAACAGTACCAAGAAGAATTAATTTCTGCACAGAGTTGGAAGAAAGCAGTAGGCTATCATTTAAAAAAAAAACAACAACAACAACAAAACAAACACCAACTCTCACAACTCCAGGATTTAAGATGTGTCAGATCAACACAGGCACAGCAAAGGCTTTTCTTTCAGCTGGTTGTCATCATTTCCTTAAAAACAGCTAAATTCATATCACACAGACTAAACTCATGATTGGAGACACAGTTCTGAAGTCCTGGCCAACAGCACTGTTTGCATGCAGCTTTGGACAGATGGCACCTTTACCCAGCCAATGCTGGGGTCCGTGTCCCTGACAGAAGTCAGAAGAGGGGGGGGGGGAAAAAAAAGAAAGTATTTCAAAACTCTTAGTAGGTAGAAGAACATTCCATTTCTAGCCTTCTTAAGATGGGAAATATGAATGCCACCCTCAGCCTGTCAACTTCTATATATGTTGACTGTATTTTAAAACACATCTGTACAAAAAAAAAAACAAGCAGAACACCCTAAATTGTTATACCTACAAAAACAGAGCTAGGACACTGGGGAAAAAAAAAAGAAAAGACAAAGTAGTAACAGAGGAAAGCAAAGCAGATAAACTGTTTTATTTCTGAGGATCTTCAAATCATTCTGGAGCACCAAAAGCAGGTAGATACAGCAAGGCTACCGAATTTTGGGTAGGAAAAACGCAAAGCACTGCCATCCTCATTGCCACTGACTTTTTGCTGTTAACCACTCAAGTCAGATTTGTTCCAAGAGCATTTCCAAGGAAAGACATGGAAATGTGTTTCCCTATGGCATATTTTGTACAATACGCTGCTTCCAAAGCATAAATCTTCAGATTTATCAGCATTTAGAGCTGCCTATGGAAATCCCCTACTTCAGCTTCTACATGCGTTCAAATAATTTTCCCTCCAAAGCTAACAGATGAACCAAAACATGGTAGTCTAGTTATGAGTTAAGCTTCTGCTTTCTAGCTTGAACCCCTTCCCCACTCCTCAACCTTCCACAAAAGAGCATATGGAAAAGGTCTAGATTAAATTGTATTAGAGAAATATGATTGTATTAATGCCCTTTAAATAAGAGGTGGGGGGAAATAGGAAAGTGATGTGCTATTTTTTTCTACAAAGCCTTGAGTGCCAAACAAGCAGGAAATTAAATTTATGTTTACTAGAAGAGTTTGCTTCCAACCAACCTTTCCATCATTGTCAAAGGAATCAAAGAAAATCCCAACACCATTCCACTTGTCAGCTGCCCCAAACACGGGACCTTCCATGCCTTGCTCCTCTGTAAACCAGATTGCCTGTTACAGAAAGGAAGGAAAAAATGTAAGCCTACAGCCACTTTTTTGAGTAAGCCTCTTTCTTACATCAGATCAAACTCAATACCAGCCCATCGGCTCCAATGCGGCCTCTGCCTGTAACTCGAAAGGTCACTTCGACTTCCCAATATTCAAATATTGACTTGTTTTTGGTCCACACCGATCCCTTCTGGCTCTTCAAAGACGTTGTTATACGAATCTGATCCGCGCTCGGTATAGCATCTGGAAGGGAAGGGAACAAACGTTTTAGGTAAACACTCAGCTAGGGAGGAAAAGAAAAATGAACCTAAAAGCAACAAAACATGAGAACACAAAGGATTGTTACTTTTAGCAGGGCAATTATTACTGCTTTTCAAAGCATTTTTTCACCATTTGTTTGGTACAACAACACGCACCTGAAAGAGAAGGTTGATCTGATGGCTAAAATACAAACACAGATTTTTTTTTTTTAAGTTTTTTGCTAGGACGTGTTGCATTTTTTGCTGTTTTTTTACACAAATCACTGTTTTCTCCACACAAGACGGCCTCCCCCTCCTCTGTTCATCCCCAGAACGCTGCCCTTTTGACACGTGTAGCACAACGCCACATAACTGTGAGCCACAACCCAGCACCCAGGGAGCGGGCCCGGATCAACTTCACAAAAATAAAGGGGAAAGAAAAAAGAAACAAACAAAAAAAGCAGACAAAACGACTTCAGCGATAGCAAAACGGGGCCGAGCTGCGCGCCCTGCAGCGCTGCAGGGGCAGCCCCCTCCGCCCGCAGTGACACATCAGCACCGCGCACGGGGACGGACCGGGGCTCCGCACCGCCACCGGGAGGGGGGACCGCCGCCACACGGCGCCGCACGGCCCCGCGCCGCCCGCAGCCCGCTCCCCCGCCACTTACTGCCCGTGTGCGCCCAGAACGGCACCGTGCCGTCCGCCTGCACCAGGTGCGGCCCTTTGAAGCTGTACTTGTACTCGAAGCGGCGGTGCGGCCCCGCCGAGCTCTCCGCCGCCACCGCCGCCCGCCCGAAGGCCAGCAGTAGCCCGGCCACCACAGCTGCCGCCAGCCCGCCTCGCTGCGCGCATGCCGCCATCTTGCACCGTGCTGCGGGACGGCGCGCGCCGCCAACAGGGCGCCACGCGATTGGCCGAGCGAGGGGGCGGGGCCAAGGGCACGGCATGTGGGCCTCCAGGCGGGGCTTCCGGAAGGGGTGGGCGGGGCTTCCGGAAGGAGTGGGCGGGGCTTCCGGGCGGCCGCGCCTCCGCTTCCGCCTTCTCCTTCGCCTGACGAGTCGTGGGGCGTGGGATGATCCCTTCTGCAGCTCTTCTGTGGGGATAGGTGGAGTTAGAGCTGTGCGTGCTAGCTGGGAAAGGTGCATTCCCCATTGGGCGAGGCGTAGACGCTGCTGAGTTGGTGTGGTAGAGAAGTGTTTCTGAGATGAATGTTGGAAGAACTTAAATATCCTTTGTGTTCTTGATAAGTGTTGGCTGAGAAGGAAGTGCTGTAATAATAATAACAGTTATGTAATACCCCTCAGTATCATCAGGCTGTGTCTTGGGTACTGGTGTTTTAAGGGAATTGGGGAATTAAGGGAATAGGGGATACGAAGGGAATTGGCTCTTTCTTCCTTGACAAAACTCAGCTCCATAATTATCTAGAAGAGAATTCATAGAACCTTTGAGTTGGAAGGGGGCTCTGGGGGCCATCTCATCCATCTCCCCTGCAGTGCACAGGGACGCCACAGTTCCATCAGGTTGCCTAGGGCCTGATCCAGCCTGGCTTTGCAGGTCTCCAGGGATGGGGCATCCTGCCGATAGAATCTAGAACATTCTGGCATAGAATGCACAGCAGTTACTTCAAGGGGGTAAAACATCATAAGTGTCGTGAATAAGATGTGAATAAAGCAGCATGAAGCCCTGCCCTGAACATACCATGCGCCTGGCAGTAAGCTTGGAACTTGCAATGGCAGTAAAATAACCGAGCCACACTGAAAGGACAAAAAAGCCAAAAGCACTAGCCTTGAAACAAATCTCTTTATTACCCCCACACATAAGCATGTCTGAAATTCTACAGCTTAAAGTCACAAGCATGGAATAATTCATAACTTAAGAGAACAAACATGGGACTGCAGAACTTCATGACATTACATTAAGTTTTGTTATAGAATCATGGAATCACAAGGTTGGAAACGACCCGCAAGATCACCTGGTCCAACCACCCTCCCATCACCATTGCCACCACAAGCAATAAGCCACATCTCCAGCTCCTCATCCAGGCGCCTCTTGAACACTGCCGGGAACGGCGACTCCACCACCTCCCTGTGCAGCCATTGCAGTGCCTGACCACCATCTGAGAGAAAAAGTTATGTCTAACCTAAACTTCCTCTGGTACAACCTGTGGCCATTTCCTTGGGTCCTGTTTGTTGCTGGGGAGAAGAGGTCAAACCCCTCCTCATCTCAGCCTCCCTTCAGGAGGTTGCAGAGTGCAATGAGTTCTGCCCTGAGCCTCCTCTTCTCCACACTGAACAATCCCAGCTCCCTCAGCTGCTCCTTGTAAGACTTGTGCTCAAGTACTGATGGGTAAAAAAGAACATTATGAAAGGCCGCGCTGGTTGCAAAAACTACTGTTGAGACCACTGTGGTCTCAGTTATAACTTCTATCCCAGAAAATACCCTCATTGCTGAAGTTCTTTAGGTCTACAAAAGCACCTTGTGCTTCACGGAATGTTAACATGAGCTTATTTATCATTGTATTAGTTCTGCAAAGGTGTTGACATCTAAGTTTTTCTACAGAAAGCACAGTGCTATGCACAGTGTGTACCAGCACAAAGGATCTCACTGATACATCTAAGGCGTCTTCTTTAACAGCAAGAACTGTCAGTAAACTTTGCAAGTTTTCTTACACTTCAGAATTGCACACACACGGCAAAGTTGGTGGTAATTTAGTTGAGGACACAACCAGAACGTATTTGTCACAGAATCACAGACTGTCTGAGGTTGGAAGAACCTCTGGTCCATCTGGTCCAACCACTGCACCTTTGGTGCCAGCCAGAGCAGGGTGCCCAGGCCCCTGTGTCCAGGAGCAGTAAAGTACTGCTTCCTGTCATTAACACAGGCAAAATTTTAGAATGTGGCCCTAGCCTGAGATAGTTAGTAATTGGCTTGTCTGTGGTTACATAATAGATTAATCTAACTTCAGTTCCTGCATATCTACATCTACAGGATAGGAATTTACCTCTGCTGTTACCATTCTGGATTCCCTGTATAGCAAGCATAGTGAAGTGAGCAAGGGTCTTTTCATATCATAGAATCATAGAATGGCCTGGGTTGAAAAGGACCACAATGCTCATCTTGTTCCAAGCCCTTGCTGTGTGCAGGGTTGCCAACCACCAGAGCCACATCCATGCCTGCAGGGATGGGGCATCCACAGCCTCCTTGGGCAACCTGTGCCAGTGCCTCACCACCCTCTGAGTGAAAAACTTCCTCCTAATATCCAACCTAAACCTCCCCTGTCTCAGTTTAAGACCATTCCCCCTTGTCCTATCAACACCCACCCTCACAAACAGCCGTTCCCCCTCCTGTTTATACGCTCCCTTCAAGTGCTGGAAGGCCACAATGAGGTCTCCCTGGAGTCTTCTCTTCTCCAAGCTAAACAAGCCCAGTTCCCTCAACCTTTCCTCACAGGAGAGCTGCTCCTGCTCCAAGAGCTCCACATCTTTCCTGTGCTGGGGGCCCTGGACGCAGCGCTGCAGATGGGGCCTCACAAGAGCCGAGCAGAGGGGGACAAACAAGGGGGACGATCACCTCCCTCTCCCTGCTGGCCACCCCTTTTTAATGCAGCCCAGAACACAGCTGGCCTTCCGGGCTGCAAACACACACTGCTGGCTCGTGTCCAGCTTCTTGTCTGCCAGGACCCACAAGTTCTTCTCAGATCCCCAAGTTTTTCTTAAATGGATTCCTGAAAGACATCAAAGTGTACCTTAGAAGTACCATTTTCCTCATATAAATGATAGAGAAAGCAAGGTCTGTGGTAGACATCTCTATCACGTGTGCCTTCATTTAATCTGACACATCGTATGGCTTGGCAGCTGATCTTCCTCTCTTCACCGTCCTTCAGCAGCATTACCTGTTTCTCTCTTGTTTATTGCAGTCTAGAGCAGTCAGGAAAATGCTTCTCAACATCATCTGTATTTGTTCAAACACAAAAAGAATCTTTTTAATCCATTATACAAGCCTTTAGATTACTTTAAAGCAGTCAGAGACATTCCAACAACCATGTTTTAATCATGTACCAGCTTTCCAAAAGCGAATCTCAGTTTACAGATGCCTACATTTGAAGATGTTACAAAGTATGCACGTTTCAGTTACTCTCTGCCACTGGCTGTGGTAATGACTGAAAATGATGTGAGTGGTCCCAGTGAGCTTTTCATGCATAGCTGTGCAAATGCAGAACAAATATCGCTACGGTTATTTAGAATTTTCTAGGAAAAAAAAAAAAGAAAATCACATTTTTATATGAGATTTGCTTTCGTGGCCCTTTCTGGCTTTTCAAACAGTGTAAAGTTTTTGTCTACCCATTCCAAAAACAGAAACAACCCCTAAGCATTACATAATCAAAAAGCAATGCTTAGAACAGCACAACTAAGGCTCTAAATGCTCAGAATAAGGAGTGTCATGAACACGAACAACCCGTTTTTCTCTACTTACCCCATACACACTTCCATCAACTTTCTTAGCCTTATTCTATCTAGAAGAAGAAAGTCTGTCAGTTTCTTAGGTCTGGCTTATAACTGTAGGTCTATTTCTAGAGTCCTGGGCAGGCTGCAGGAACGGGCCATCAAAATCTCCTCAAGTTCAACAAAGGGAAATGCAGAGTCCTTCACCAGGGGTGGAACGCATGCACCAGGAGAGGCTGGGGAACAACCAGATGGAAGGCAGCCCTACTGAGAATGACTTCAGGTCCTGGTGGACAACAAATAGTCATAGCACAGCAAAAGCTCCCTTGAAGCTAAGGTGTCCAACAGCACCCTAGCAGAACAGCATCACTAGCGCATCAGGGAAGATGACTTTTCCTCTTTGTCATTAAATAACAACAATCTGTATTCTCTCCCTAGACTAAGCAGGATAGTGCTCTTGCAATCTGTGGCTTGCACATCCTTCCTTATGCATAAGTTAGATCACTAGCAGATTCCTTAAACATCGGAGGAAAAGAGTTCTTCAGACTAAAAACTGTCAAAATGCAGTTCTTAGCATTAATTACGATACTAACACATTTAATTTCCATCAACTTTCTGGCATCAATCCTTAGTAGCCACATAAAAAAAATACTGAGGATGTGCTTCCAGTTAAATCTGTTGATATCTTTTTTTTTTTTTTTTTTTTTTTTTTTTCTGTTGACTCAAAGAAAGCAGTAAAAGGAAGCAGTGACCCCTAGTTGCATGTTTTAGAAAACAGAAATATTCCGTGGTCTGTGGTCTGTTTCAGCCTTCAAACAAAGCAAAAGTTCCAGCCCTGTAGGCAAGCCTGCTCTGGTACCTGGAAAGGTTATAATGGTACTAGAGGAGCTGACCAGAAGGAGTGTGTACTGCAGCCTCAGAGAAGTTCCTTAGTGCAAACTGCTGACAAAGCAGCCACATTTGAAATTATATGCTGGGCTACAAACTGGAGCAGCTGACGTGCCAGCACACAGCTCTTGCTGCTCCCCACTGAGGCAGCAGTGATCACAGAAGGCCCAGAGAAAGCCTGTGATGACCGTGGGTTGAAATGTCCCATGAAATGCTCAGAGCTTACCTGCTCTGCCATACCCTGCAGCTTAAGAGACCTCGCTGGCAGGGTCTGTTAGTCACCGGGAAAGCCGCAGAAGTCTTTTTTTGTGATGAGTTAATTGCCAGACTGGCTAACTGAAGGATCTTGCTGCCTGCCTTCCTAGGTCCCTCAAGCACTCTTTGTTTTGTTACTCTTTCTCGAACTAATTTGCTCTGTTTTCCCATAGGGAACTGAAAAGCTCTTCCAGACTGAACTAAACTTACACTGAAACTATTCTTATATGCCTACCGACCTTTTGTTAGGATCCTGAAATGGAATATGCCATAGGCTACAAAGCATTATTGTATGACTCCTTTCTATTATTTTTCTAAGCTAGAGATCAAAAGGATATAAAACAAAGAAATAAACAAGGATTGCAGATATCTTAAGAGCAGCTGGGCACAATTTCAAGTGTTTTTTTTTTCCCCCCCTCAAATTAATTATCTTAATTCCCGGTAGTGATGTCAATCCAGCCGTACAAGAGGATCGGTATTTTTAGAAAGGATCTCTTATTCAGATACCTTCATTCCCCTGTTGGTTTTGCTGTAAGAGAAACCAGTCCCAGCTTGCTGCAGCACTGTAGCCTAGCACTTAAAAAGATTACGTAGCATATTCTTCCTTTTGACACTGCTTTGGTCCTGTCTACACAAGGGGATAGCAGAGGACGTGACACTTTGCTGGTTCTTCAACACGTTCTCAGTGGACTGAGAGAGAACGGTAATTGTCTTTCCTTTGTCCCCAGGGGAATCTGTGTCACCAGACCCTGTGCTCTCCACTCATTTATTTATGTATTTAGTCTCTTTTCCTATGGTGGTCATGAGGTTCCTCTAAGCAGCGTGAAAATCTGGCCCACACTTCTCCAAAGAAGGCAGTGGTACCAGGAAGGTCCCTGGCTTTTTCCTAACGTTGCATGGTGAACTTGAAGGCAGAGGGAAATCACTGAGTGCAGCGAGCTTGTTTTTCATCCTCATAGTTTGAATGCAGAATCTGAAAGAAGGGAAGCATGGATTTCCCAAGAAAATGCTTTCTTTTTCACAGTGCATGTGTAAAGCACATACTGGTATATCTCTTATTTATCTATATTTTAGCAAGCATCTCAAAATTCTGTGCTTCTGTGAAAACTAGAACTTTTGGGAGAAGTGCTCAAAACGCTGGGAAAGCAAGCTATGCCTTCAAGCTGTTCTGACTACTTGAGCTCAGTGCCGAGCTCACTGAGTTCCTTCCTGCTAAGGAAACAAAAATCATTTCTTAATTGCTAGAACTTCCTTCAGCACTGTCCTGCAAATAATACATGAATTCAAACGCAGAAAAGAAAGAAAATGGAAAAAAAAAAAATAATACTGAGGTCATGGTGTTGCCTTTCTAAAAAGTGCTGAGGAGGCCATTGCTTACCATTCTAGCGGCACAATTCTGACATATGCTGTTTTGTACTGAGAAATTCCGAGCAGGAAGATAGGTGAGCTTATCTGCAACCTTCATTTGTCACACTGGTGAAAGAAAGGCGTGCTGTCAGAAAACAGAAGCAATACTTTTACAGATACCAACTTTGTTTTGTCTCCGAGGACAGGCGGAAGTAGTGAAGTCACTTCTCGTATGAAGAATATCTTAAAATGTACAGTCATCCTAAGGAGATAATTAATATTCTGACCCTCTTTTGTTATTTCCTCACTTTCCCTGTGACAGCTTTGAGGATTCTCCTGTGTTATTTCTTTTAGTCCAGGAATCCATGTATGAAGCGTGTTACTTAATTTCAATAACCGTGATAATTATAGAAGACAAGCAGTTACTGAATCTTGCACCATAATTAATCAACCTGATACTTACTCACTAAATTGTTCATAGCAGATTAAGCTGTAGCTAGACAAGCAGGACAAGGAAAGTGAGTGACAGAAGCATTATCATGGCACACTGCCTCCTATTGGGAAAGTTCATCTTCCTTCTGAAAGAGACGCCTTCAGGGATCATGTAATTTGAATTCCCTGTGAATTTAGTGTCATCTTAGCTTGACCAGCTCTGGAAGAACATATTAACCTCCCCTTGTGATTTTCAGAAAACCATTCTAATTTAGCAAGTAATTAAGGGTCACATGTAGGATAAGGAGCTGGATAAGCTTGGATTACGCACAGGAAGCTTTGTCTCCAGGGCAACCCGAGCAGAGGGCTGCTGGCGCTGGGGCGGGAGGGCAGGCAGAGCTTCCACCCCGCGAATCGGTGCGAGAAGCAAACGCCCGCAGAACTGGTCATCACTGGGATGCTGGGCAGAAAGCTGCGGCCAGCGGGAGCCTTCTGCCGCGCGAGGTCAAGAGAAGTCCAAAACAATGACGCTCGGCAAAGCCTGTGTTTTTTCAAAGCCGAAATGGCTTTCCATCGTCATCGAGGGATTTTGCTGCGCTCTCACCGTGAGGCCGCCGGCGTCTGTGTAACTGCGGCTGCTAACGCACGCATCCGTGGGCCCCGCTGGGCTGCAGCGACGCCAGCCAGGCGTCCCGGGCTGCGCACCGTGCTCAGGTGTAACGCTGCGCTCGGGCAGCTCTCCTCTCACTGCCAGCACGGAGAGCTAACGTCACCGGCACGGCCAGGAGATCCCGGCTACTTGGCTGGGCACTTTTATTTTTCACTTGGGAGCTATGAAGGGAAAGCAATGCTTTTCTTTTCCCTCCGGAGAAATGGTCAGATTTTTGGTTTGAAACCGAGCCCTCTAACTTCAGAAATTCCTTCTTTTATTTCTGTGAGAATAGCAGGCCCGTGCCTGTGATCACTGTGTGCCACGTCCTTCAGAGCCACACAACCCCCTTCTTGAACACTTCAGTGATGCTGATCCCACCCCAGACAGCCTGCCCCAACCTCACCACTCTTTCTGAGAAGAATATTTTCCAGCCTAAATAGGAGTGGCCTGTTAGACAATAAATGATTTCTCAGTTCATTTGTACCCTACTGATTCCTTATGATCTGTAAGAGAAACAACCATGGGTGTTTTCCAAAGCTTTCTTTAGAACAAGCAAGTGCCCTCTACTGTTTGCTACCATCAGGTGACGTTGTCATACAATGCATTTTAACAGTTGGGCCGTCCTTGCATCCTGATTGCAGGTACTCCTAACTTTATAGCATGCATTTTGGAAATGCTCTTTCACTGTGGATGTGTAACTGATGCTTGATTTCACCTTCCCTCTGCTATTTACATGTGTAGCCTTTGCGCAGAGGCAGGCTGTTCTGCAGCAGGCCACCACTACAGGCACGGGGGGAATTTGCACACTCCACTCTCTCTAATACATACCATAGAACCTGCCATAAAAAGCCAGTTGTGCTGGAGGTTAATTGTTAAAAAGGGTAACGGTCTTTAAAAAAGCAGTGGGTTTAAGCAATTGCGGATAGAATTCATGC